CGCCGTGTTAACTCCCACCTGTGTATTATTCCATACTTCACTCATACACGCAGGCAGTAAGCATATTTGGTGCCTTGAACTTAACAAGTAGCTTTAGATCTAATTTTTTTTCTAATTGGAAATGTAAATAGATCTCTATTCCGTGAATTTCTGGCTGGTGACAGGGTGGCAATATGAGCGGGAATTTTAGTACTAGTAGGCCATAGTCATAGTATCAGGATAGTATTAGTAGTATAATTTGCTTGTACTTGTGTAAAGTTGTGGGTGTATTTCGGATGTACTGCGTATACATCTTTTAGCTTGTCGATGATTAAGGTCAACCCGGGCCCTTGTGTATATAATAATATATGGGTTTGTTTAGACTTGCCTTACTTGTCTAGAACACTAGCTTTCTTGTCTAGAACATTTTTTAAATTGAAACGGCGTTATCTGGCAAAGGGAGATAACCAAGACTGGTCAGAGTCCAGGTCTATCAGTATCAAGAGTTTTCAAATAGCAATAATTTCGACGATGAAGCTATTGTAGTTGCACACATTTTAAACAGAGTGGCTATATTAGGCTGTATGCCCGGCAGCCGGCATATATCTGACGGCTGCCGGGCACGGTCTTCGATTTCCTAAATGCACGACAGTTTTTAATTTTTAGCGTTATCTCAAGTAAACAAGGGTTAGGATTAGGGTTAGGATCAGGATTACGGTTAGGATTAGGGTTAGGGTCAGAGTTAGGGTTAGAGTTAGGAACTGCCAGGCATTTAGGAAATCGAAGACCGTGCCCGGCTGCCGGGCATATAGCCACAGCGCATTTTAAATTCATTTACATGTAGAAACAGCAGAACTTGTGAATAGCGACACAAATTAATATTATTTCAGACACTAGACCCGTAGAGATATTATTGCTGATAATATTTTTACTTGTAACTTATGTGTATATTCTACAGACGTTTTTGCATCTTTTTGAAAAATTTTGTCCGTAGTCACAAAAATGACCAACATTTTTCTGTAGCTTGCTGCATTGATTCATGTGGCTATACTTCAAACAGTTGGTCAAACTACAAGGTTCATGTGCATAGAAAGCACAAACATATCAACACAGGTATGAAACTGTATATATAGAATCTGATTGGCTGACTTGTAGATGTATTTTCTGCTTTTTGCTTTTTGCGATGGGTGCTTGATAGGACTGAAACGATTAATTGTGATTTATTTGTCACGATTCGATTCATTATTTTTTTTTTCTGTAATATTTCGATGCGGCTGCAATGTCCATATTTTATCATTCTTATACACTACGGTCCACGTATTTATACAGTGCTACCGCGGGAAAGGACAGATCGTGTGGTATCGGTCCCGCCTAAGGGTGTTTGGTAATATTTGGTGGGGTCAGGCAGATAATCGTTTAGTTATGGAGGACTGGTGCTTCGGTTTTGAAAGCGTTGAATATGCCTGGACTACCGGTTATCAACAGGATTACATGTAAAGAAGGTATAGTAGTACAGCTGGATTGAAATTCACAATGTTAAGCGCTGTTCGAAAACCCAACCCAGATATATGCTGTAACAATAAATGGAAAACACGGAGGGAGACAAAATGTAGCCGTTGGTGTTGGGCGATTGCATGTGCGGGGGAGTTCAGGGAGGGGCGCGGTCGGTTGGGAAAGGTGAAGGTAGGTTGAACGGGCGTTGTTGTGTGTTGTTGTGTGTTTGTGTGTGTGTGTGTTGTGTTGACTGTTTTGTTCTATTCCTGGCCTTGTTCTCGAAGCTAAGAGGGTCTACGTTGTGTTAGGTTAGTCATGTTGCGGTTTGTATACAGCGAGAGCAGCGATTTTTGGGCTCGTATGGTAAGATATGGTTAGTTTGTTAGTGTTGCTGATGCACAGGTCAAAAGAGTTGCATTCATGGAGTTGGCTGCATTGAGTAGAA